AGAGCCGGGGAGGGAGAGGGAAGCCCGCCCCGGCCGGCAACCTGCCCCGGGCGCTCCGCCCTGGGCGCAAGACCCCCGGGTCCTAGTCCCTGCGGCCAGCGGAGCCCCCCGCCTTCTCCCCCACCCCGGCAGGTGTTTGCTGCCTGGTCCTGGTCGCGCTGAGCCTGTGGCCAGATAGAGCCGCTGCCCCGGGGCCACCTCCCGGCCCCCCGAGGGCTTCGCCAGACCCTCGGGCCGAGCTGGACAGCGCCGTGCTCCTGACGCGCTCCCTCCTGGCGGACACCCGGCAGCTGGCCGCACAGCTGGTAGGAGGCTGCAGAGGCTGGGCGGGGCCGGACCCAGGACGACGGGGGGGCACCTGGGCTCCCACAGGTGGCAGGGACGGAGGACCGAGGAGGGTGAGGCCCGTGGTGCAGGATGGAGGGACCCCCAGAGCTGGGCAGGGTCCCCCTCATAGCTTCTTTGCCCCCCCCCCAGAGAGACAGATTCCCAGCCGACGGAGACCACAACCTGGACTCCCTCCCCACCTTGGCCATGAGCGCAGGAGCGCTGGGCGCCCTGCAGGTAGGAGCGGGAGCGGGATGGGGGAGAAGGTGCGAGCCGGGCCCTGGAAGGGGTCCCCGGGGAACTGGGCCAGGGGCCCCTGACACCCCGCACGCCCTGTCCCCTAGCTTCCCGGCGTGTTGACGCGGCTGCGGGCAGACCTGTTCTCCTACCTGAGGCACGTGCAGTGGCTGCGCCGGGCGGGGGGCCCTTCCCTGCGGACCCTGGAGCCCGAGCTGGGGGCCCTGCAGGCCCGGCTGGACCGGCTGCTGCGCCGGCTGCAGCTCCTGGTAGGTGGCCCCTGCTCGGGGACCCTCGCCCCGGCCCCAAGGTCCCGTGGTCCTGAGACCCGGAGGCCCCAGACTCCAGAATCCTGCCAGGAAACTCCTAATATCACCCCAAAAACAGAGACCCTGTGATCTTGTGACCCCCAAACTCCCAGTCTGAAGCCCTAAGACTTGACAGTGCAAACCCTCACCGTGAAATGGAGACCTGGGCCCCAATACACCACAGTCCAGACCCCAAGCCCCGGAAACGGAACCTCCAGACCCCGAGATCCCCGGATCCGGGACTAGAGACCCTGATGGCAAAGCCCAGACCTCAAGACCCTAGACTGAAACTACAAGACCCCAGGTCTTGAGCCTTGAGTCTCTAAGACTTCAGATCCGGGTTGTGAGTTCTTGAGACCCCAAGGTCCTGATCCACAGAACTAAGACCCTAAGACCCCTGGGCTTGACCCCAAAGACCCTGGACCTCAAACTCCAGCTCTCAGTTCTGAGACCCCACACTTGAGACCCCAGCCCTCACCCAGGAGTCCTAGAGATCTAAGACCCGCCCCTGAGATCCAGGCCCGGCCCGACTTGAGTCCACAGCACCCACCCTCACCNTGGCCCAACTTGAGTCCACAGCACCCACCCTCACCCAGCACCAGGATCCAGCCCCGATTCTCCAGACCTTGCCCTCAACCCCCTGGACATGGCCCTGGAACCCCAGCCTTAAGATCCCCACCTTTTGGAGGCACAGCCTCTGTGTTCTGAACCCAATATTCTGAACTCCCAGCCAGACACCCACCCCACAGACCAAAGACACTGGAAATATGTAACCAGGACCCCTTAACCTGATTCAGCAGAGGCTCCAAACACTCCTTCTCAGACCCCTGCTGCACCCCTGGCCTGTAGCTAACCCTCTGTCCTCTCCCAACAGATGTCCCGCCTGGCCCTGCCCCAGGGGCCCCCAGACCCACCGGCGCCCCCACTGGCCCCGCCAGCCTCAGCCTGGGGCGGCATCCGGGCTGCCCACGCCATCCTCGGGGGGCTGCACTTGACCCTGGACTGGGCGGTGCGGGGCTTGCTGCTGCTCAAGACTCGGCTGTGACCCACCACCCAGAGCCATCAGCATCCTTCACTGCCAGACCTTATTTATTTATTTATTTTGGGACTGGGGGCGTGGCAGCCAGAGGACCCCCCTTCCCCATTATCTCCCCCTAGTTAGAGACAGTCCCTCCAGGAGACCTGAGCAGGGACACCTGTGCCTTATTTATACTTATTTATTTCTGGGGATGGGTGGGAGGCAGGTGGACTCAGGGGTCCCCAGTGGGAGGGGACTAGGGTCCCTGATTCTTGGATCTCTAAGAAGTCAGGCCGCCGTGTCTCCCTGGCCCCCACTCTCCCTGAGCAGGAGCATATGTTATTTATTAAACTATTATTTTTTTGTGTT